CCTTGTTTGAATCCCAATTTTGGACAAAAAAAGTATTTTTGAATAGTATTTTGTTAAAAATTGTGTGGTTAAAAAGTTTTTTAAAAAAAATTGGATTTTTGTGTAATATTATTTTATAGGAGAATATATGGTTGAAAATGAGTTTTAAAAAAATAATTTTTTGAAAAATTACAGTGTATTTGAAGCACATTTTTTTTTTTATGTGATGTGATGCGATTGGAAATATGTGGTTGAAAATAAATGAAAAGTTATTAATGTGATGTAAAATATTATTTTATTGAAGAACGTGTGATTGAAAATGAGTAGAAAAATAAAAATGAAAATGTGGCTCAAACAGGGGCATAGGGACCAAACGTACCCTTGCCAATAAATTTGAGTGACAGCATGAGAGTATTTTTCTCTTAAAAGGAAAGAAGTTTGGATACTTTCGTGCTTATATATCTATGGGCTTCCACGATGTTATTGGATCGGTCAAGTCCAACTCAGCTTAATTTAATAGGGAAAATTTCATAATTAAGAAGTTTAGTTTTACTAATTCAAATTTAAAACATTAATTAATTAAATACATTAAGGTCACAATTCCATATAATTTGGTTGCAAATTTCATATAATTGCTCACAAATCACAAATTTTATATGTCACAATTTATTTTTACGATCACAATTAAAAAATTTTATAGGTCAAAAAAATTTATACGTCACAACTTGGTCGCAATTGTATACAATTTTGTTACAAATTCATTTATCGGTCACAAATCAAAAAAATTATAAATCACAATTCATTTATCGATCACAAATCACAAAATTCATAAGTCACAATTCAAATTTTTAGATCACATATTATTTATTGATCACAATTTATCGGTTACATGTTATTTTTTGGTCACAATCTTAAATAATTGGTCACGAACATGCTTAATTCCACTACCTTTCCCAATCCACCAGGTATCACCACTTCCAACTACTACCACCACCACCAACAAAATCGTTGTCACTATCGCCCAAAAACACCAACAAATCAAATCCACAACAGCTGCCGCACCACCACTGACACTGCGATGATCACCCAACAACTAGCAACCAGCAATTGGCGATGAATATGTCACAAAGCTAAATAGAGAAAGAAGAAATGGGGGATCTGAATCTGAATCTGAATCTGTATCCACCACATCACCACCATTGCTAACATCATTACCACCACACCACTGCCACCACATCGCCACCAACAATTGCAAAACGCAAATTAACGATGGTATTGGGTCATCTCACTAGACGAATCCCCAAGTCTTAATGGCGATTCGAAAGCGGCGATCTGAGATCTGTGAACTGCAACGAATTGCTAAGAGTGCTTCTGCGATGAACGGAAGCCGATGGGGTCTTTGCATGAAACTACCACAAAGCTTGTATCGGCGCTTTTCTCATGAGGAACTGTTGTGCTCACCACCTTCCGTGTGGTTGCTCAAGAGAAGTGCCACCTTCCCGAGTAGCGTTGCTGCGATGCGCTGATCGGTCAGCCGGAATAGAAAGGTGGTGGGTAGGTAGAGAGATAAAGATAGAATATAGAAAGAGAAAGGTAGAAGGGAGAGAGATTTATGGTTGCTATTTTGGGGGTTGGAATCGGGTTCTATGTTTTAATTTTATTTTTTAAAATTAAATTATTAAAAATTTAAATATCTTTTGATTTTTGAAATAAAAAACTTGTATATCTTAATTTTGAATTGAAAAGTTTAAAACTCTGGTTGCTTGTAATTTCCTCAATTTAATATGTGCCAAATGTGAAATCATATTCTTTGGAAATTTATCCCGTTTGGGCTTCATTTTAATGGAAATTTGGGAGAAAATGTGTTTTGAAATAATAATTACTTTAGAGAATTTAATTGAAAAAGAAGAAAATTTTCGATTTATGTATAATATTATTTTATAGGAGAATGTATAGTTAAAAATGAATTTTTAAATAAAATGAAAACCAAACATAAGCTTAACTTACTCAATTAGCGAGTCTAATTGAGTAGGTAGCTCAACAAAGAAAAGCATTAATTATGTGTTCTGAATACGGAACAAAACCAGCATTGATAGGCCAAAATTCGAACACTGGTCAATCATGAAAAACATCATGCAACAATATATGTTGACTTCTTGTTTTGATTATCACAAACAAATTACATTTTACTCTAACAAATTGTATTC